ATACAAACTGTGGCACATGACTACATTCGGTCATGCACACGACACACCCGCTAATGGCACACACTACATCTGTCCTCACAGTCCTCTATAATATACTTGTCCTCATTTGAATACACATCTATATATATATATATATATATATATATATATATATATATATATATATATATATATATATATATATATATATATATATATATATATATATATATATATATATATATATATATATATATATATATATACATATATATATATAGAATCGTACTCAGGTGCGAATGCTTCGCCCAGTCGCGAAATAGGAATGAATTCTGTTCGTCCACGTGTCCAGATCTAAAGGATGAGAAACACTGATTTTTTTAAAAAACGCGGTGGCATTTTCGAAAATAATTGAACATCGAAGTGCAAGTAAAATGTATTACAAGTGCCTATAAAATGTATTATAGGAGCAAGTAAAAATTTACACTAAGCATTAATACTTAGTTGCACCTATAGTTCTAAGTAGTTGCACCTAGGTGTATGAATGTTTGCGAGTGATTTTCAGGGGTATTACTACCCGCTGAACTCAGATCAATGAATGTTAACAAGGAAAGATTACATGCACTTATAGGTGAAAGTAGGTGCACATATAGTTATAAGTAGTTGCACCTATAGTTATAAATAGTTGCACATATAGTTATAAGCACACCCAGGTGCGTGAATGTTTGCGGAAAGTGAATGCTAACAAAGCAAAATTACATGCACTTATAGGTGAAAGTAGGTGCACCTATAGTTATAAGTAGTTGCACCTATAGTTATAAATAGTTGCACATATAGTTATAAGCACACCCAGGTGCATGAATGTTTGCGGAAAGTGAATGCTAACAAGGCAAAATTACATGCACTTATAGGTGAAAGTAGGTGCACTTGTAAGTGATTTTACTTGCACTTTGATGTTCAATTATTTACGAAAATGCCACCGCGTTTTTTTTTAAGTTACTAGATCTGGACACGTGTCGCGCGCTGATTCGTTCGCATTTCCCTCCTGAGCACTTATTCGCACCTGAGTGCATCCCTATATATATATATATATATATATATATATATATATATATATATATATATATATATATATATATATATATATATATATTGTATTTTAACGCGTTGGAGTGGGTTACTAGCATCATTCGCTTAACAGATATATTTGGCTTTCAGGCACAGATGATTAATTACCGGAGCGCGCTAGAGGATCTCGGCTTAGATAGTTAGTCTTTCCTTTCGGCATGTGTGCCTTGATGATGTAATGACAATATTTGAGCATAGTTAGTTAGAATAGTCTGTGCATCTGAGCTCTCCAGCTCAGATGTTTCATAATACCCCCGACCCGCCCTTATGTTTAGAATGCTCCTTTTGGGATTTATTTAATATAATTGCTTTCATATTATGAGATTGAAAAGTTTTAAAATTTCGAGGTGTTACAACGACGACCACCAAGTGTAGGGAAGGTGGTCCACGACTCTTCGTTCTCCGACGGCGACGGCCTCTCTACAACTCTTCTTTCTTCGACGGCGACGACCTCCTTACGTCTCTTCCTTCTCCAACGGCGACAGTCTCTCCGCGACTCTTCCTGCTTTTACGGTGATGGCCTCTTCGTGACTCTTCCTTCTTCGACGGCGACGACCTTTGCCTCTCCGCGACTCTTCTTTCTCTGACCGTGACGGCTGGGAACATTTGGGAACTACATGATCTGGTGTGGATGTTGAATTATTGAGTCATATGCCTGGGGAACTACAATACGCATGAGAAGTGTATTAACTGTTGGAAGTGGGGAAGTCTAGGAAGTGCAATACAGTTATCACTTATTCATTTTATTCTATACCACTGAAAAAATCAAAAAAAAAAACAAAAAATAAATAAATAAATCGGGCGCCTCCCTAGGCCCCTAGGGGCGCCTAGCGTATTTTTCAACATTGCTTATACGTTAATCCTTAACTACCCAAGGACTTCAACCTAGGGCTCTGATACCAACTGGTAACACCCCCATTTTCACACTTACAAGCCTGGCTTAATATATTCATTTAAGAATAGAGGTAGGAAAAAAATACTAGATTAAGATAGATGAACCCATAAATCAACATTGTGGGAAGTGCTACCGCCATAGCCACCCACCTTCGAATGACTACCTGGCTAACATCCTAGAGTCAAAAGCTCAACATACAACAAAAAGGGGTTTACAAACCCATGTGTCCACGCACCAACAAAACCCAACGGTAGTCTAATGCTACATCAATCTATCAACATAAGTCTCGAAATGCTAGTCATCAGGTCAAGACTAAAGGATAAATGCTAAGTACTATAAATCAACAAGCAAACTAGAGCTACACTATCACATCATTGATCGAGTGCGCGCTCAACATGCATTGGGACAACTTGAAAAGGGTTATAAAGAAAACATGGGAAAGTAACCCGCTAGCATATAAAAACCACTCAACCCTATAAAATAGATATAGATATAGCTTTGGAAAATAATTGTTTGACTCCACATATATCACATAGGTTCATAGAGAGGTAGGAACTTCACGAACCGTGAAAGAACCTATCCGGGTTCGTCAAATATCGGCCGACCTAATAATCATATCGCCCACAAATCTCATATCAATTTGGAATCAGGTATCGTACCTTCAGTGTGCACACCCCCTGATCGGGATTCCAAGCCCATCGGGTAGTATCCAACGTGCTAGTAGCGTAGGATTTTTCTACCAAGCTACTTCAATCATATCTGTTCAGGATTTTTCTACCGGACTTTCTTATCATCATAACATTTCATCATTAAGTCCAAACGGGGACCTCCAAAAATATATAAATTTTCCTCAAAGGCTGTGACCCTTGGGACGAATGCTCTGCAACCATTTTTTTGGCGAAAAATCCTTTTTCAGATAAAAACACATCTCCAAAACACTCATCAACAACAACATATCGTTAAAACATCATCATCACCACATTATAGGCACAAAACAACACATAAATCTCCATCACAACATTATATAACAACACACATCAATATTCAAAGAATTTAAGACAAAATAGTAGGTTTTGGACATCCATGGGTTATACCTTGAGATTGTTAGCTCATAGTATGAATCCCTCCTCTTTCTTCAAATATGGCTTCTTCCTTCACCCCCTTTCAACCCCAAGCAAGAACACATAGAATATCATACACAAGCAAATTCATACATTATATAATGAAATAAGAAGGAAGAGGATGATGAAAGGATGAAATGAATGGAGAAGGATGAAGAAGATGGAAATGCTCACTATGTTTTCTCGTTGGTGATAGTTTCCTAAAGACTTGAGAGGAGGAAACAAGGGAGGGATTAAAGAGATCTGGCAATGTAACAGTGCCTATTTATAGTCTCAAAACCCTTGGTAGAAATGAGAAGGGAGTGAACAGCTAGGGTAGGGCTTTTAGGTCATTTTTGCGATTTAATATTCTAGGTTAAGATTTTGGTCGAATGTTGGATCTAGTTTGGGTAAAAATGCGATATAAATTATTAGAAAAAAGGGTGGGTTCATTTTAAATCAAGTTTGGGCTAAAAACAATTCTAACAGATTCACAGGTTCCTCTCAGATAGACTTTTTTGAGTAAAATTTTTTGGTACACAAATATACCCTTTGATTAGGATGAATAAATATATACATACTCTATATTAAAGCATTTTGGAAATAAGAGTTTAAAATAAAAATATTTTATTCATTTGGTAAAATTATTGTAGGAATAAAATTAAATTCAAAGTTTTATTTTTGATTTTAATAAAATGGAGATTTTTGGAGAAAAAATATTTTGGAGTGTCATAGGTTGCTTTTCCAGCGACTTCTTCTGCGACCTGCTGGTGGTCACAAAGAACACAAGGTCGTCGCTGGACCTTGATTTCCCCGGAAGTAGTTAAAACATCGTCAGAGTGTCGCTGGAAACCTAGTGACATACTGTCACAGGTCACTAGAAATGAGGAGTGTTGTCACAAATCTAGAAATGAAGAGTGTCATCTCCGAATTAGTTAAAGATAAAACACTTTTTCTATAGACCAAATATGACTAGAAATCCGAAGAACTCTTTGTATTTAATTTGACAATGGGAAATGAAGTCATGATGAGGATATCTTTTTCATATTTCACCTCCCGTCATCAGAGATGAAGAAGGTTGCATATAATTTCCCACAATGTTTATTTATGTTTTAGTATGCTTAAACTGTTTCAAAATTTGTTCTAAGCCAAATTATTAGCTTTCAAAGGTAGGTTTGATTTCTTAATGTAATGAATGTTCTTATATTTCCAGCAGTTCGTGAAACTATGCTTCTTGATTATGGATTAATTGACTAATTTTGGAATGCATATTAGCTTGTTGGATTTTGGACATAGGGGGTGTTATGATTAAGCACACATTTGTTTAGATAAAAAGTGCATGCAATTATACCTTTAAAAACAAAATATAATAATTTATTTTTCTTCAAATATACAAACAAAATTTAAATATAGAAGAAGAGTTTCGTCTTTATATAAAAACTACGCTTTTCGTTTTCATATCAAAGGTACCGCTCCTCATCTCTATATCATTATTGAAGATAAATTTTTTCTCTCCAGATCACATAAAGATCACACCTTAGAAAATGTTGAATTTAAAGGGAATTTGAGATGTAGGTTAAACGAGAGAGGAGGGAGGAAGCTTGAAATCTAGGCTGAATAAGAGCAAGAGAGAGAATGGGGGACTGGCCGGGGGAGAGAAGGAGCTTGAAAACTTTAACGGAAAGTGCAATCTTAGTACAAGGTCAACCGCAAATTATATTATGAATTTGGGCCCGTCTTGCATTGTGGACAATGGTCACATACGTTGCACGCACACACGTCGCACGCACGTTGCACACGCACGCACGTTGCACACAGATATATATACACAGTGAAATGAAAGTCATGAAGTTCATGAGTATAAGTGCGTTTGATCTTTTTGTTTGCTGAAGATCGACCTTCCACTTGATCCTTAGTTAGGTTTTCCATTTTCTCCATCTTACACGATGCGATAGACCACAATAAAATTAAATAAAATAAACACTAAAGTGCTTGTAGGATTCTTAATTTAGGTGTGTAGATATATAGTGGCGGAACCAAGGCAAGCAGAGGCAATCCAAACTCATTCATTTCTATTAAAATTGAGATTTTTGATATTTAGGATTAAAAGATAAAAAATTTTAAGATTGAAACCGAAATAGAAACAAATAAAGCTGACGATTAAAAGCAAAATTGCTACTGAAATTGAGTGACTAAAAAGTGAAATAAACCCCCAAATATTTTTGAGGGTTTTGTTCAGTGATTGGATTAATTGGAATTTCAAATAGGTTGATATTTATTAGCTAATTACTTATAACTAAAAGAACTGTTATTATAATTCGTCATATTTGGCAATAATAATTTCTTTCTTTAATTAAATAAATAACAATGAAAAAGATAAAACTAATGTTCTATAAGTGATACAGTTGGCAACTTGGCATGGACAGCTACATCTCAATCTCTATTTTTTGCTCTTGTTCAGTCTACATTTTAAGTATAGGAATAACACAGAATTAACTAGAGCGTCTAAGCATTGTAATTCTTCAAGCATCTTTTGAGAAGGTATGAAGAGAGTCATCTCCACTCTAGAGACTGAACTCTTTTTCTCTAGATTAGAGATGGACATCTCTTTGTTTAATTTGTAACTGTTGGAGAATGGAAAAATATATTGTATATTGATTGTGTTTTATGAATGAAGGAACCTAAGGAAATCCTATGATTGACTAATCACATCACAAATAATTAGGAAAGATTATTTACATATGGTAAAATAAATCTCTACACTCCCCCTCAAACTCAAATCCTATGTGTGAGCTTGAATAGAATCGTTGTAAAAGTGTGCGAGGGGAGGCTCTTCGTGAATATATCGGCCAATTGTTGGTTGGAAGGAACGAATGTTGTGCGTATTTGACCAGCCTGAATTTTTTCTCGTACAAAGTGACAGTCGATCTCAACATGTTGAGTGCGTTCGTGAAATACTGGATTATTGGCTATGTGTAGGGCGGCTTGGTTGTCACAATGTAAATGAGTTGGGTGTGGCGGGACAAAGTTCAGATAGTAATAGTTGTAGCCAAGTGATTTCACTTGCAGCACTAGCCATTGCTTGATATTCGGCTTTAGCAGAGGATCTAGATATGGTGGCTTGTTTCTTTGCCTTTCATGAGAGTGGGCTTGGCCCTAAAAAGGTGCAATATCCAGTTGTTGACCGGCGAGTTGTGTGGCAGGAAGCCCATCAGTGTCACAATAAGCATGTAAATTCAAGGAAGTATTAGCAGAGAGTAATATACTACGGTCGGGTGAGTTTTTGAGGTACCGAATGATGCGAAGAGCAGCTTGCCAGTGGGGTTCTCTAGGTGTAGACATAAATTATGACAGGAGGTAGACAGAGTATGTGATGTCCGGACGTGTCACAGTCAAGTATAGAAGGCGACCTATAAATCTTCAATAGGTGGAAGGTGTTGGAAAAATAGCATTAAAAAGGCATTTTAAGTGGCTATTTTGTGGTACAATTATCAATAGGGTCCATTTCCGATTTGGGTCGGGTCAAAATGGATTCAGATTCTTCATAGTGAGACGAAGAAATTGATATATTCTACGCTCAAAACGGATAATCGGTGAATGAGATATTGATTCTCAAAGTAGACCCATTTGAGTTGGAAAATGAAGGAAAAAAGTGAGCTTTTGTCCCACATTGGTTTGGAAAGAAGATTTTCCCCCCTTTTATACAAGAGCTCTTTTGGAGATTGTAGAATTGTATAGCATAGAGGTTCTCTCGCACGGGGGGTGCAAATCAAATACCAACTAGAAACGAGATCGATATTCTATCTTAGAGAATCATACTTGGAACAGGTTATCTCGGGCTGGGCTTGTCATTTCTGGAAGTTCATCAAAATGGATGTGTCGAATGATACTTGCCAAAGCCGTTTAGCGAGACTTAGAAGTTCATCAAAATGGATGTATCGCGGGTTTGTGGTTCCACGATGTGAAAGAAAGTGTGTGGATGTATCGCGGGTTTGTGGTTCCACGATGTGAAAGAAAGTGTGTAATTGGTGAAATCATTGTATGGTTCGAAACAATTGCCTTAGTATTTGGCATGTGAGGTTTGATCATACAATGATGACTAACAAGTTTGGGGGTAATGCGTATGATAGACAGAGATATCACTGTTTGTTTATAAATGATGAACATATGGTCTCGTGTTAGGCCAATCTCAGCGAGTTGATTGAATCCTTGCAAGGATGATAACCAATTGGCTTGGACACTGTTAGATACTAACATACAACTAGCCAATACTCACGGAGATTGTATTTCTCACGGAGAATACATTCAGATTATTGGTAGTTTAATTGTATCTAATGGGTTGTACTAGGCCGGATATTGCCTTTGTGGTTAACAAACTCGGTACACATACGAGTAATCCTAGTGTTACGCACTAGAAGGAAATAGTGAGAGTTATGAGATACTTAAGGTATGTTCGTGACTTTGGACTGCACTACGTCAGACATCTAGCTGTACCTGGAAAGTATAGCACGGATATCAAAGGACGCTAAGTCCATTAAAGGCTACGTCTTTACGTAGGCTAGTGCAGTTGGTTATATGAAAATTCTCGAAATGATTTGTGATAGCTAAGATCCATGACGGGATCTAAGCTGAGATCCTTAGACTCGTGTCGCGAGCGAGTTGGCCGAATGGCTATGCCATTTTTTTAGGAATGTTCCTAGAGGTAAACTCGTACCTCCAATTTGTGTGCGTTGCGATAGTCAAGCCAAATGGTTTGGAATGGTTACGGTTTGGAGGGTCTTCCCGATGATTTTTTTTTCCAGCGGCGACGGTGTTGCTGCTCTCCTCTCATGGACGGTGACTGGGCGGAGGCAGCGGGTTCTCGGCGGGGTTTAGCCGGTCGTTGGACGGGTTGTGGCTGGTGATGTGGCGAGAGATGGTGGCCGCGGGTGTTGAATGGGCAGAGGGCGAGGAGGTCGCCGGTGGTGCTGCGTTGGCCGCGGTCACTCGGCGGGCGGTGGACGGCGACCGTCGGGCGGGGGGCGGTTAGTGGACGGGAGGTCGACGGTGGTTGGTGGTGGCGTCCGGCGTATGGTGGGCTGTGGGTGATCGGTCGGTGTGGAGAGGTAAGGAGGAAGGGAGGAGGGAGAGAGAAGGTGGGAGGAAGAAGAACGAGAAGAATTTTTTGATTTGGGGATTTTGTGGGTTTTAGGGATTTGGAGGGGTTTAAGAAAGGTGTGTTCCCTTAAAGTTTGAAGAAACACTCATAGCTTAGTGGTCAAGTCTTTAGTCTTGTAAAGTAAGAGGTTTAAAGTTCCATCCCCATTGGTTGCATTAGTCTTTTAGTGCACCCCTTCCTTACTTTGGCCTTCTATCATTCTTTTGGTCCGGTGTTGTAAGTGGTTTGATTGGGTCCCCTCGTCGGACTTTTGCTTTCGCCGTGTGTTGGGTTTGGGATTTGTATATTATAGAGGCGGGGATCATAGCCCTCTTCTTACCCCAAGGGGTGGTAGTCGGGGAAGTTAAGCGGATTGAATTAATTGATTTTGTCTTTTATTCAATGTATGAGAGCTTCTAAATAATCGAGCTAAATAAGCGATTATACTAAAAGGGTGATTTACAAGGGTCCACAAATTATCCTAAGTAGAATTCCTCTTCCGAATTTTCCCATGGTTGGTTCGCAGGATCCTCGTCCCCGAGTGCCACGTTTTCTGCGTCGATGTTGGCATCGATTTCAAGTTCGGCCTGGGTGCGACTATGACGAATACCTTTCCGGGAGCCCCGTTGCTCCCTCGGTTATTCGCGCTCCCTTGTTGTCCCATGACCGTAGGGTTTGTTGTAACACCCCCGATTTTCATGTCATTTTAAAACTTAAATACATAAGGTAAGGTAACTAACATATATCATAAAAACGTAAGCACAGCAGAAGTCTAATATAAAACAAGGAAAACCAAGGAGTGTTATGCTACATTCACCCCAACGTGAATGCACAGGCAAGTCAAACACCATCCATCTATTTGTTAAACAACTGTGGCACACAGACCAAAACACTAACTATATTGTTCAAGGGATCTAAACTATCAACGACTAACGCTCTCGCCATGTCTACTCAGGACCTGTAAAGCACATAAAGAAAGGGGACAACGCCCGGTTAGCGAATATTGATTGTAACTCATCAATACGCATTAAGTAGCATATATAGATAGTATAATACAAAATCATTTTCGAAACGGAATACAGAATATATCAGTTCAAAGTCATAAAGAGAAGTCAACTGCAAAGACTCTATTACACTCTCAAAAAGGACAAGGGAATCAACATCCCAAGACAACATCAAGAGAAGAACAACAACAGTACAACTCAACACAGATCAAGATGTAATCTACTGATCACAGAGTAGAAGACATCAAGACAAGGACAACAACAACACAAATACAACTCGAGGTGTATTCCACTGATCACAAAGTAGAATACCACTCGACATGCTCATTAGAATAGGATAGACAAACACATATTAGCACTACATGCCACGGTGACACTCCATGTCACAAGTTCCAAGTTCCAAGTTCCATCCTTATGCCCGGTTCCAACCTTATGGCTACCCCTGACCTTATAACTAGTTCCAACCTTTACCTCCTAGTGTCACCCTGTACATCCAAGTCCAACCTTATGCCTCCGGGAACCGTCGTTCCCCCTCCAACATCCACCAAGTCAAAACCACCGATCTCAAAGTACACGAGGGTACCGAACATTTCAATCACATAACCACCAATACCTGAGCCTGACGCCCGGCTGAGCCTGAAGCCCAGTTACAACTCCATAATCATTTCATGGCCACCACGAGGACCACATTTGTACCATGGTGATTAATGTCCCATACCATTAATCGTGCAATCCAGGTATAGCCAGTACACACACATTCATCATAGGAATCAATCAATGGATCACAACAAAGATATGAAACCATACTCAATAAGGAAGGATTACAATCCGACACCAATGATGATCAACACAAGTTATCATCCATAATAGGAAAG